ATTGCAAACCACAATCTTTGGGATTGATTTTAAAAATAGATACAGCATTTACATGTCTGCAATTTTCATTTAAGAATAAAATGTGCTCCATGTAATTTAAAATTCGGCTGCTGAAGTTCATGCAGACTATTTGTGAATTGAAAACTGCAAAACATCTCAGTTCTCTTGAGATTATGGTCACTAAACCACTGGAGTTTTGTTTTCTATTAGAATTACATTGACCAGTCATGAGGACATTTTATGTCTTTTATTATAAACTGTAAATCTGTAGACTTAAAAGCAGAGTGTTTCTGTCTAACTGCTTGTAATTATTCCCCCAAGAGTTGAAATGAACTTGTTTAGCTGTGCTTTTTAGATTATTTTAAGAGAGACCATATACTCAGGGAAGAGTTGATAATTTAAAAATATTTTTCTCAAGGCCCACAGGGCTTAATCAAGTTGTAGCTGTTGTCTGGGTAAAAATTGCACTTCTTTTTCCATGTCTTTTTTTGTCTGAAAGTTAGAATTTGAATTTTGTTTCTGAGATTTTATTTTAAATAACACTGTAATTAGACAGAAATGATGTCAAGTTTACATACTGTGTGGCAAGATGCTGCAGAATATTTTAAAACTGGATTAATATATCTGCTGGCATAGATTAAAGATCTTCACTGTGTGAGTGAACAGTGATGAATACTGTTTTATGGATTATATGTACCTGACCAATGTTCAATAAATAACATGTCTGACAATTTTTTTTAAAACTGAGAACAATGATACTTTGTGTTCATAGTTCTTCAGAATACTCTTTCTTGTCATGGTGAGATTTGAAGAAATACTCATGAAAAGAAATACTCCTATTCAGATTGTCAGATCTGATTTTAATTGTTATCTGTCAGCAGTGTTTGCATAGATTATAGAATTTAAAGTGAATCATCTTCTCACAGCTTCTCCAGTATTTAGATCTCCTACTTGTCAAGAACCAAAAGAAGAGATTATAAAGGAGAGCCTAATCTAGTAAACTTTTTTCTCTCTCTTTCATGCTGCAACTGCTGTCTTTTCTCAAATAAAATAGTACTAAAGGAGTAGAGAACTGAAGAAAATCATCTGTCTGTGTATGTATAAAAACGTATAACAACATTGAACTACTAACTAATATGAAATTTTGAAGAAAAGTATAAAGAGCTAGAAATAAGTGACAAATGTAGCAAAGTGAAACATGTTAGGTCATGCTTGACTAGCCAGATATATTTAAATATATAACTAGTTTTCTAGACCAAGGAAATTTAGTAGATTCATTGATCTAGACTTCATTACAGCTTTTGTGGTCACCTACACCTAAAAAAGAATTAGAAAAGATTAGCAGACAAGAGGTGTGGGTAAAATGTAAATTACTGTGCCAAAAGGCATTGAGCCTAATGGGCTTCTTAAAGACCATTCACTTGTATCATGAAACTTGTTTTTCTTGTTCTGATGGCATCGTAAAAAGTAGAAGGCTCCGATAAAATTTGCTGGCAGTGCAGCACCAGGAGACATATGGGAAAGACTGAGATATATAGTCATAATAAAGGCAGATTTGATTTTAGGATGTATTTAAAGGTATTAATGACACTGGATAAGGCACTAGTAAAATCCTTCTGGAGTACTGGGCATGGTTTGTACTGTGACTGTAGTAAACTCAGGTGTGAGCAGAGGCACAGATGAATTGTGAGACTGACCAAAGGAGTAGTGTATCTAACAACACAGCGTTGATATGGTTAACACAATAAAGTTACTTAAACTGTAAGACCGTTTTGACTTAAAAAAAATAAATTGGCAATTAATGCATCTAGAATGGAAATTGGATTATTTACAGTAGTCATGAGTGTGAAATTCAGGGAAGAAGAATGTACCTGGGCTTGAATTGGAGCTTGATCTGTTTGTGAAAGGGGTTACATAGAGTGGTTCCCAACAATATAAGGGTGTGGCTTCTAGTTCTGCATTTGAAGTTCCTGTGTTCCAAGTTTATTTAATTGCCCTTGTAGTGCAAGATCTTGCTGAATTTCTGCTTTATATCATTTCATGTAATTCACATATTAAGTGCTGAGAATGCTATAAATGGAATGTCTTTATGTGAAGCTTTAAAATCTTTGACACCTGATTAATTAATAGCTGAAAGACAATACTTGTATATTAACACAATCAACCAACAGCTGTGGAGGCATGTACTTCAGGCCATTGAGGGTCCTCCATGCTAATAATTTATTTCTCAATTCCAACCGGGCCAAACATTCTAGCAAAATTATATTTTTCCAACATGTAAAACACATAAATTGAAAATCAGTAAAAAAAAGTGGAAGTTGAATACTGTTCAAAAATGGTATTTTATTTTTAGCTTGTTCATGTAGATTTGTGTATATAGGATAAACTTGGGAAACAGTCTGACAGACTTCTGCACCGTTTTAGTGGGACCTAATGTTGTCTAATATGGCATCCAAATACATGTAGAAAGAAGAGCATATGGAAGAAACTGATTGATTTACCTGGGTCACCTGTAAGAGATATGTTTCATATTAATCAGTATCTTTTTCATAAATAAAACTTACTTTAAAATTATTGTGATGTTTATGGATAACCTGAGATGTGTGAAATGATTTGCAGCCTGATTTGAAGTGCCTACTTTGTGAAGGTTATGTGTAGCTGTAATCAAAAAGGACATAACTCAGTAACAAAGCTCCAGACTCTGGATTTAAGTACTGCAGTAGAGTGAAGACTCCAGCATTAGGCATCTCTGAATGATTATCAGGTGAGGTGAGGAGGCAGGTGATTTTGAGGGCTGATACAAAGTTCTTACCTGCTGAACAGGCATCCTGTAAGAAACAGTATGTTGAGTGATTAATCTAACTCCTCTCGAGCTTGTCAGGAGTGTGAACATTAGAGTTGAGAACGCTTGGAACATTTTTATATGCGTAAGATCTGGACTGCTGTGTTTTCCTGAGTATTTGAATTAACAAGGCTCTGTTTTTATGTGAGGGATAATGCCCATATTTTTCAGGATGCCATGACAGTAATGTATCGAACAGCAATTCCCTATTGGAGTGTGAAGAAATTTCAGCTGGGAGTACATCTTCACAAGAATACTGTTAGCTGTGTGCCATAGAAAGTTGAGGAGTCTAAGAGGGTAGCAAAAGGGAAGATTTTTCAAAAATAAGCATTCTGGGCCACAGAGCAGCCAGGGATGCAGGATTCTTGGTGCCCGTGGCAGTAAGACAAGAGAGGAGTTTAATCTGTAACCAGAAAATAAGACATTCGTCTAGCACAGGCAGGTACGGATTTTCATCCTTGCTTTCAAGATTGTTTAGATCGTTTAACATTTTAGACTGTAATTGAGTAAAAACTAGAAATAATCTACAGCCTAGAAACCACAGTCTTGACACCTAGCTAAATTAACTAACTACTATATCACAGAATTTACAGTCTGCTCATGGGAATTAAGAATTCCCTTGGAGTGAGAAGGGATCATACCTACTTCTGCATCTGCAGCCTCGTGGGGGAGTGGATGCCATGCTCTCAGGACTCATGAAAAAGGAGGTTACCATTTTCTCCATGTCCTTTGCACATAATGTCATGAAGACATTTCACATGTGTATAGACTGGAAGACTTTTGTTCTTAGCCAAGCCAGAATGCTTTATGGGCCAAACTTCAGGCGTCTCAAGGCTAGGCTTGACTCACTGTTGGAATTAAATACCCGAATTCTCTATAGATCACATTTTAGGAACCAAAGTAGAGATCTGATTCTTGACTGTAATGAGTAACAAAAGAAGCAATTGCAAGGTAAGTTGTTTAGCTTGTTTAAAATGTACAAAAGCACTATGAATGTTTGGTGAAAGCAATCTCATGTTTTTAATGGGATGTTTAGTGTCTGAAAAAAATATTTATATAATTAATTTCATTACTGCATGTCTACCTCCTATAAAAAGCTTGTCTTAAAATGGAAAGGGCTGTAAAGTTGGCAGATATTTGAAACGAGGATGTTTTAATCCCTATTTAATTGTATGAACTTCACGTTTCAGAAACAATTTTAAAATTACTTCTGTTTTTAAGAAAGGCTCAGGGACTTTTGTAACTTTTAGCATACAAATAATTCTATTATTTCAGTATTATGACTTCTCATGTTCAGTAAAAACAGCATATGAATTGCAGATCCACAGTCTTAAAGACTAGCAAACATACAGCTTATTCTAAAAAGAGTGGAGGAGGTCATGCGGACTATTTACAACAACACTGCTTTACAAGAGTAACAGCTGCACTGTTGTCATATCAGTGGTTCTTTAATGCCTTTCTTTAGATCCTGTTTTTTAAAAATCAGAAAATGTGCTTAATATGCTACCTCACAATGTTGTTTTGGCAGTTATAGGTCATTATGTTTTGGGAATAATAGTTCTAAACAGCCCTGTTGATGGTTAACAGTGAAAGAGGAGCTGAGAGTGCCAGATAAAATAAGCATTCACAGAGACAAATTTCATCTTCAGAATGAATAATACTTCTATTATTTTAATGAAGAAAATGTTTACAGGGTAACATGTATAAAAATGCAGCACTGTTTCCCAGTATTGCTGGTTTATTTTAAACCAGAGCACATAAACAATAATTCTGCATTGAAGCGCGACCACATTCTATTTGGTGATGTTTTCTTTGGAAATTTAAGTATCTTTTACTAGCAGAGGAGGGTGGACAGAAAATGGATTTTGTGCAATATACAAATAAAAACAATCTGTTAGTAAATCTATAAATATATTCTCTTTGTTTTTGAAAACAACAGCAATTTAAAATCCTTTCTTAGTGGGGTGGCCTAAAATTGAAGGAAAATGAAAGATTTATTGTGGTCAGGGGACATTTAGTCAATTGGAATTCACATCCCTGCAGCACTCAGTCAATTAAAGTGGGATGCTAGGATTAATAATCAATAGGTAAAATACATTTTAATCAACAGGTAGAAGAGCATGAATGATTAATTAATGGTGTTTCATTTTATCCCAAGGTGTGCAGAAACAAGAGGTAGTGTGTAAAAGGCTGGATGACAACTCCATTGTACAAAACAATTACTGTGACCCTGACAGTAAGCCTCCAGAAACCCAGAGAGCCTGCAACACTGAGCCTTGTCCGCCTGAGTAAGTCATTAATCACTAAGATGGACAGTGTTTTGCATAGATAGAAAAATCTTTTGAGCAGCTAGTAAAACCTGTTGACCAAATGTGTATAAAATTCTGATCTCGTGTTAGGGTCCTGCCTTATCAGACAGGATATTTGGTTTCTTGATCCTCTGAAATCAGTTGTGGAAAATACATACTTTAACCTAGAGGAAGCCTGATTTGACTGAGGAACAGTGCTGTTTAAACTACAGAAAACAGCTCAGACATTGTCATTAAAAAGGTACTGGCAAAGCAGTTTCTTAGGGTGTAAGTGTCAGATGTGGTGAATAGTGCTCAGGGTAGAACTGGTACCATTCTTAAGGCCACAATGACAGAAGAATCTTGAGTGAAACTAACTTTGCCATAGATATTTATATTGCATACTAAATATTTGCCATATTTTTAAGTATATTATATTAAAATTTTTGTTGGTGTTTATATTAGAAATGACAAACATAGAAACTGCTTGATAGACCAAACCATTTACTGATGATAGTTTTGTCAAGCAACTTTGTCTCCAGGATGCTCAGTGTTGTACAGTAATGCTGTGTGCCTTTATGATTAGGTGCCTACTTGGTTACATCTGTTTATTTTTATTTTTAAAGATCGCTGTATGCTATATATTGAAAAGATAATTAAAAGCATGGCAGCTTATTTGTTCAAAAATGAAACTTGGCAAGGTCCTATAATATAGATTCATCTTACTACAAAAGCTTTGTAGAAACAGTTGTGATACTTTGCACTAGAAAATAATTTCATCAGATGCACTACAGCTCTGTCTTATGTTTTGAGACAAGTAAAACGTGGAAAAAATGGAAGAGATAAAACAGTTAATTGATTCACAAGTTCTGTTTAGTTTGTTTGGTGAGAATCTGTAGCTATATTCTAATTGGGCATGAAAATCATTAATGCTAATTGAACATAGATACTGCACAATAAAGAAGTACTGTGGTTTCTTTTAAATGTCTCTTAGAAACTTTACAGTTGTAGTATAAAGAACACTGGGAGAAATAAGACAAGACTGTGATGCATTAAAATGCCAACAGGTCTTCATGAAGACATTTTTTTTTCCTAGAGTATCTGCTGCTTCCTTGGTGTGGATACTGGTTGCAGGCTGACAGAGCAGTGTCTTCCACACTTACTCCCCCTGTGTCATGTACCATACTTATTTGATATGAACAGAAGTTATTTATAAGAAGCCATTACACTGCTCTAACCTTGATTGTATTTGAAGCTGAATGTGCTGTCTCACAGACATTCTAAAGCAGGTCTAAATCACTGTCCCTGGAGTCTATGTGTAAATGTACGTTTACCCTGCCAGGATGTGCACTTGGATTCTGTTTGGATAATAGTGTTTAACATGGCTATAAGTGCACTGACTAAACTCTCACACCATGTACTTGAGAGCAGAACTTGGGATTGTTCATGGTTGGTTGGTTCCTTTTTAACAAGCACATCCCTCTCCCTTCCTTTGTATGGCTTAACAATTAACAAATTAGCACTGTAAAAGATAGCATTAACATAGTTATTCCAAACTAGTTAGGTTTGGGGTTTTTTTTTTTGCATTGACATTATTTTAGAAACAAAAACGAAGAAAAAAACCCCAACCAACAAAGTGGGATGCTTCTGAATTCTCCATCCAGTACAGCAGGGACACTGATGACCATGGTGAAACTCATGTCATCAACATTCAGAAAATGGGTACTGTGTGTTAGTCAGCATCTGCTTGACTATGTCAGAGCAGATCAGCCCACATCTGCCTCCATTCTGATATTCCCCACAGGGTGAATACAAAGTGCCAAACACCTTAAGGGAGGGTTCTTGATTCCTGATCCTGTAAGTCTACAAGGCTGTTCAAATAACCCGAATAAGTTTGATCCTTTTGTCTGAAAGATTTATTGTCCAGTAATAGTTACTCTTTACATAGAATGGCCAAATACTTCCTTTCTTAATTAACAAATTTTCACTTCCCTTGTGTGGTATACCAAAAGTTATGAAAACATTACTCTTTCTAACTGAATGCCAGTTACATTGTAGTTGATGTCCCTGAGCAGCAGCAAAGACTATGTTTGTTCATGGTATCTTGCTTGTTATTACAATAATTAACAAAGTTCCAGATTTCAAGAAATGATGCACATGTCACGGTTCTATTAATTACGAATAGTACTGTCTTATCATACAGTATAAACATAAAAGGTACCTGAGACTGCACTTGAGCAAATCAGTACCAGCTAGAAATTAACTTCAGTCTCTCCAGACCTCTGAAGAGCTTCTAATTCTCCCTACTGTGGTAAAAGCATAAGTTTGTTGATGAAGAATCACAAATTCTCTTTCGTTGGGAAATTAATGACAGAATATGGCATATTTGTTTGTATCTCTGCATCAATCTAGGTTCATATTTTAATATATTACATGTTCTATAACACACGACAGGATAGCCACACTTTTTTTTTGACAGAGGCTTCAGAAAGTGACAAATCTTATGAGGCAGCTCCAAGCATACCTCCAGGAACATCCACATAGACTGACATGCCTGGCGTTTTCGGCATGTTGGCATTATGTGATAGCATACTAGATTTCACCTTCATCCTTTGCAAGGATGGTTCAAGTGAGTGTATCTAATCATCATACAAAATAGTTTTCATTAAAAAAGTTGCAAAACCACTTTCAGATAAATAATTTCAGGCAAGTCCATTATAAGTCTACTTAAATAGCTGCAGTTTTGTCAGGCTTAACTCTCCTGTCTAACTACTATGGCCTAGGGTGGAAATTGCTGCTCTAGAAAAATGCATAGCAGTAGTATTATTGGAAGATATGATTGCAGTGAGGCATAAATGAAAATGTTCAGTAAAAAGACATTTAAGTTTCTACTTTATTTCACTGTGAATCTGTGATTGTTAGCAGTGATTTAGGCCTAGTAATTTAAACTATTTGCATTCTGGGTTTATGCAATTATCTACTTTGTTTCTGAAAGGTATTAACTGAGTCTCCTAACTTTTTCTATCCAGATGGTTTATAGGAGATTGGTCAGAATGCAGTAAGACCTGTGATGGAGGAATGCGTTCACGAACAGTTCTCTGTATCAGAAAGATTGGACCTTCTGAGGAGGAGACACTGGACACTACCAACTGTTTAACACACCGGCCCATTGAAAAAGAACCCTGTAACAATCAGTCCTGTCCCCCACAGTGGATCGCTTTGGACTGGTCAGAAGTAAGGCAATTTTTGCTGTGTTAGCTCATTGGTAATAGTGGATACAAGAATTAAAGACTACTGAATATTAGTACATTTTCTATCACTGCTTGCTAAGCAAAGGATTAATAAGAAATATAAACCCTCATAGATACAGTATTGAAGCAGTTTTTTCTGTTTCTTCCTGTGTTGTTGGTTCTCTTTTTTTGTCAAACAATTATGACCTGTTTTCTTTAATCATGGTAGAAAAATAATGAGATACAAAATAGAATAGCAAAGTAGTAAAAAAAGAAAACCCAGTGAAACAAAAAACCACTTAGAATAGCCATTTGGTATGAGATAACATTCTTTAAAAGAAAAAAGCAATTTCCATTTCCACTGGTTTTTGAACAGGCAAATAGCTGGATAGTAGAAATGATGGGTTCACAATATGAGAAGCCAGAATAAACTGCTTTTTTTTTTTTTTTTTTCTGAAGCAACCATGCTGATGTAAAGCATCACCTTTCTTAGCACATGCCTCAAGAGGCAGAACTGAAAGTTGGTATTCTCTTTATTAAAGAAATATCTTTTGTTAAGTATGGTGATACCTGTTACAGTATAAGCCAAACTTATACTATACCTTATACTGGTTCAAGTATTAAATTTGAAGATGTGAACCAGTGCATTTGAAAGGACATTTATATGGGACTGCATTTTATGCAAATCAGAATGCAGAAATGTCTGCGTGCTTTTTCAGATTCTTACTATACTGGACTCCCATCTCACCCCACTTTTTATCTCAAAGTGTGCTCTGAAGTACTTACAAATTAGGATTTCTGGAGTTTCCATATCTGTATCCTTGCTGTCAAATGTAGCCTTATCATATAATTGCTATAATACATAAATTGATTAAACCATGTTCTAAAATTAGTTAATTTCAGTGTTTGTCCACTGTTTCTTGGAAAACTATTCCTGAATTCCAATCTTTGGATTGCAAGAAGTGTCCTAATGTTCTAGTTCCATGCCAGTTTATACCTGTTTGCTTTTGTTATCTGAAACAGCCCTTCTTTCTTTCCAGCTATTATTAATCAGAAATTAATCTTGATCACATTCTGCTTTCATGTTTCAGTTTGAAGTCATCCTTCTGGGAAAGGATGACTAGAGTTAATTGTATATGTTGTCCCAGAGGAGGTTTCACATGTGCCTCATTCTTTTGTTTCCTACCTCTACTGAAAATACACGTAACCTGGAATGTATCAGTATACCCTATTTAATTTTAATTACCTCTTTAATTTTATTTATTTATTTATTTATTTATTTATTTATTTATTTATTTATTTATTTATTTAAGAAATGCATGCTCTTGCACGTTGTACTGCCAAAATTCACTTAATTTCAATTATTAATGTCTTCACGGTTGTCCAGCTCTTTCTGTAGAGCATACTTCTGTAACATCAAGGTCAGTTAGTTACCTGTGCTATCTGATAGTTTCAGTAATTTCATAAACACTGAACAATTGAAACCATTTTTATATGAACATCATTAAGTAGACTGGAAAGAAACATGAATCAGATCAGTCCTGTGATCGATCCTAGATGATCTTTCCAGTTATCATCTCTCAAATTCTAAACTTCACTGAGTTGTCAACCCTTTTTCAAATACTTTACTGAAGCCCAGATACGTTAGAGCAGTCCCACTGCCTTTGTCTAACAAAAAAATGAAAGATTACTATTAGAATAAACTGGAACAATCTACCAATGATATACCCATGATTCACTGTATCCCATTTTCTGTATACTTGTTTGCTTTTAAAGAGTTTCATTCAAAGTAAATGATAAATCATTGAATACTGTAAAGAAGGTTGATGTGCCTATAGCTGCACAGATCTCTTCTATACACAGATACTTTTAGTTCCAAGAAGGAAGTCTACAAGCATCACTGTGAGCACCCATAGAAGTGGTACGGAAGGGCTCTTACCATAATTTGTTAATACAGGTAATATAGTTTGCTAAATCACAGAATAGGTGATTTGGAAGGGACTTCTGGAAGGCTTCTTACCCAACCACCCCTGCTGAAGCAGGGCCACCTAGAGCCAGTTACCCAGGACCATGTCCAGACAACTTTTGAATATCTTCAAGAATGGAGACTCCATCCACTATTAGTTAGTAATAATCTAAGCATTATGGCAGTACTCAATAATATCTGCATTAAATTACAGTGCTGTGAGCTGCCATGGAAGCTGCTGTTGTTCATCTCCTTGCTGTCTGAATTGCATGCTTGTATTATCTCCATCTGTTTTTCTTAGCTGAAGAAACTACCTTTGTAGATAATTTTAAAATTGTTATTATTATATACATTATTTTTCTTTGAACAAGAGAGAAATATGTCAATTTGCTGTACTGTTCCATTGGTTTTGCTTTGTAAGGAATTATGAATGAAAGGTCATTTTAGTGAGTGTTTATATCGAAAAATCTTCTAAAATATAATGTGAACTGAATTTTTTTTGTTTTCATTAACTTACCAGAGAGATGCTTTTCTTATATTCTGAATGTCCTGTTATTTGTACTAAGATTTTGTTAATAATCCACTACCATAAAACAGGTAAGTCATTCCCAGACTATACATTAATCTGTCTCTATTTTTATTCAATTTAAGATAACACATATTTTTTTGAATCAATTCTATAAAAAGTTGTCAGCTTTATATCCTGACACCTGTAGAAAAGTGGTTTCAGCAACTTTCCTCAGTGTAGATCAGCATCTGACTTGAAGACAGGGAAAGGAGTGAGAAGAAAAGAATGGATGGGTGGGAGGGGATGTTCTGTGGAAGACTCTATGCTACGTCTGTGGCACTGTTTGTAAGCTCTTTGCATTTGTTGTAACAGTACTTTATTTCCAGCTGGAGTATCTAGGCATCATCTGAGCAAGTTACAGAGCCATAAATACATGTTGTCTATATACTGTTGCCCTTTAGCTGCATCTTGGAGGCATTGCTCATTAATACATCATACTTAGAGCTATCAACATTGCCACCCTCATAAGAATATTGAAGAACTTTTCAAGGCCTTCATATCCAGCCTTTTATACAGCAGAAGCATGTTATAATTTGGAACAAAATCATTCTAATCTAAAGATTCAAGCTCTGCTAAGCTTCTGGTTATGACGGTATTTAATTAGAATTGTGAAAAAGTGCCAACTCCTTTCTGGTATGAATTTTGCCAGGTGTAGCTTGGCAAACTGTCCTGACTGATGATACCATTTTAATATAATGAGAAAACCAGCTTTTTTTCTGTTCAGGGTTCCCAGAAATAGAATCTATTAAAATCCCTATAGTAATATACATTTATATAAATTTATTTAGATAATTTTCTGACAGAAGCGTGAAAATGAAAACAAGAGTGAACTCAATAAGTGGAAACTTGAATACTGCTTCAGTTGAAACCAATAGCAAACCTTGCTACTTTTCTCTGAAATGCAAATTGGAAGTTTTGTTTTCATACTCAAACTAGCCAATACATGATACAAATTAAACAATTATAGAACTCTTTTTTATATGCTAATGAACTTGTTGAGCATCAGTATAGTTACACATTTTTTTTTAGTCTTCAATGATAATTAGTAAGAAATTATGTGTCTCTTTGGTAAGAGAAACAAACAGTTTGTAAACACAGAGATTAAGTCCTTAGGATAATGGAAAAGGTCTTTTACCAAATAAAGTTAACAGTGTTTTGCCCAGTGGAATGTAGTCATGCTCAGGTAGTGTCAGTTTTGCCATAACATTTTTCACACTTTGCGGTAGTTGAGCTTTGACTGAATTATTCTGCCCACTGTAAATTACTCTTTTTGTATTTTTTCAGATAATAAAATAAACCAACAAAAAATAAACTAAGGATTTTTGAGAAGTGCCTTATCAGACAAGCAGATTTACTTTGCATTCTTATTACCATTAGTCATGACTTCCACTGAGTCAAAAATTCTAGAAGCATTTAGTAATGGAAGAAACTTTTTCCTGGTTTTGTTTGTCTGGGTATTTTGTCTTGCATTTGCTTTAAAGACATACTTTTTTGATAGATTCTACTGATGCTTTTTATTTTTGGTGATTCAGTATTATTGTAGGCAACCTATTTCCTTACTTCACTTTCATTCCTGGAGACTGGGTGTAGTCCATCTTATTTAGTGGAATTTTGACTATGACTCCACAGAAGTGTTTTTTTAAGGGATGTTGTTTTCTTCCGGTACCAGTAGCTGAAAGAAGATTTTTCTCAAATGGCAGTTTAGACATAGATAAAAGAACATATCTTCATGCAGGACTAGGAAATAGTTGAAACTAAACTCAAATTTTGATCCTCTAACTCTTGCTTATTTGGTAACACATTCTAGAGATTGTGAAACAGCACAAGCTCATTGGGTTTTGACAGTTTTTACGAGGTTCTTTCAACCTTGTTTCTTTTCTGTTTGTTTTTGACAGAATGCTGTCACTAAAAGGTTGAATGCAAGTGATTTTTAAGAACTCAGCTAGGAAAGGGCACTTCCTTGTAGTTCCTGCTTAAAAGTCATGCATTTTACAGGAAATATTTGTGGGAGAAAATAAACACAGCATTCTATGGAATTTGGACCAGAACTGAGTCGTCATCGTGATGCTGAAGACCTCACATACTCCCTTTTTTTGTCTCTATTTAGATTAATATTCTTCTTTCAGTTCAGCCAGAGATACAGAGATCTTTCTTCTCTTACTTTCCTTCTTTCCCTAGTTTTCCAGAAGGCAGGTACTTCTGGGGGTTAAAGATTTGGGGTTAAAGCCCCTTCAGTATGAGGGTGATTGAACCCGGCCATTCGGTATCAGAATTCCAAACACTGAACTACTATAGATAAGGAGGCAGTACATTGATAGGGCAGAAAAGGATAGGAAAGGAAAGATTAAATTTTGAGGGAAGTGATTATATACCCATTTTGTAGTTCTGGATTCTAAACTTTGGATAATAAGATTTGGGATAAACTTGTCCATTCTGTTTTCACTAGTTTAGGTGGCTCCCGCTGCGACATTTTCTTAAAGATCTTGTTTTGAGGTATATACACCTTTACATATGCATAGGGAATATCAATACCTTACCTTGTTTTAAAAATTCTTTAAATTAGGCAGAGATGTTTCAGGATTAGTCATACAACAGTAAAGTTGGGATCACTCAAGTAATTTTTTTGAAACTTAATCTTAGGGGGTTTTCTGCTTTCCGCAGTTATATACTGACCTGTTTTGGATGTGTGGAAGGCTTTTGGTGTGCAACCACTTAAATACTGCTCCAGTTCCACATAATACTATTTCCAAGATAACGTTTTGTCACTGGGGCTGCTTAAATGTGAAAGGCAGCTCTACTTTAGCATAATCTGAATGTAAAGTTTGTTATCAGAAACTGATTTTGGTCCAAATACTGCAGATATGCTTATGGGGTAAAGATTAACATGCCAATAAGGAATTCTGAAATGGTGCTTGCAAAATCTTCTGGTCAGATGTTAAAGAGGGACTGATTTGGGGAAATTCTTGAATTTTAATTTTGTTAACACTTGCCATTCCCAGTTCTGCAGTTGTGCTAATGTAAATGACAGTTAATAGTAGCGAAAAAGGAAGAAAAAGTGGGAGAAGGCAAATATGAAGAGAGAGAAGGAAAAGCAGAGGTCATCAGACCTGCTTCTTTTCAAATTACTCTTTATTATCTGCTTGCTGTTAGGACGAGCAGGGGAGTGATAAAAGGTGGAAAAACAAGAACTGTGTGAAAACAGGATTAAAATTTAAATAGTAAAACAGAGAAAAGCATGCATTGTAAGAGAGGGTACAGTATTTCTGTCTGAATTGTCTGGTTTCTGTGGAGTCCAATAAAGCATTTATTTTCCAATATGCATATGTGAAAATGTGTTCATTATAGCTCAGTATTCTGTAAGTGAGGTGGAGAAATACTGTACTAAAGTCATATGAAGAACAGAGTGTTCTACTTTTAATTTCTGAAATGTACGGTCAAGTTTGTTTCATAATAGTGCTACATGTGGCAGACCTTTCTACTTTGCAGCAAAGTGCTTTTCTTAAACCTAACCTGCAGGCCCTTATGTGTAAAAGTAAATAACACCACAGCCTAAATATGAACAGCAAAGGAAATCTCCTTTTATCAAATTAAAAAGGATAAAAACTTGAACTTAATAAGCAATCAACAGTTAGCTTGTTTGTGTTTCTAAAGATTTTAAAATTATCATCATCATCATCATCTTGGGAAAATTGTAATTATAATTTAATTGTAAGACCATAAATATATTATCCTGTTTTCCATAATCACATTTCCAACTCTTTTATTGACTTGTTACTAAGATTTTTCATTATTTATTCACATCAATATTTTTTCAGTGCACACCAAAGTGTGGCCCAGGATTCAAACACCGAATTGTTCTGTGCAAAAGCAGCGATCTTTTAAAAACTTTTCCAGCTGCACAATGCCAAGACGAAAGTAAACCCCCCGTCCGCATCCGCTGTAGTTTAGGCCGATGTCCTCCTCCTCGCTGGGTTACTGGAGACTGGGGACAGGTAAGATAGTTCATATAAGTATTATTTTGCTATTAGTCTCCTACATGTTAGCACCTTCTAAGGAGATGATGTTGCTGGAAATGGATAAGGGATGGTTCCCATGATGAAACAAAAGCTTCTCCCCTGTTTGTCTCAGATTGAAATGTGATGCTGAATGATGTTTGTCTGCTGAACTATAAAGGATTTGCTAACAGCCATCTGGTTTCTACTGGATGAGTTTCTGTATGCATTTTCTAAAAAAATTAAATAGTCCTTATTACAGTTTTTCTGGAAGGGGATTTTGGAATGCAGCAATGTTGCAAGGTTTAGCATTTTTAAAACACATTTAACTTCCTAGAGAAAAAAATCCAATTCCTGTTTCAGTGAGATATATATATCTCCACCAAAAAGACTTTGAGATCTATATAATTTTATGTAAAACACACTGAATTACCAGGCTGGGAGCTCAATTGTTACAGAACAGGCTGAATAGTGCTGCCATTATGCAGTGATTCTAAATACGATATAGTGAGTTTCCTTCTTTCTCGATGTTTATGCATCTCAGTTTTGATCAGTGACCTATTTTAAAAATAATAAATGGATGTTTTGGTTTCTAAGTTTGCTGAGTAATTTGCCACTAAAGAAAATAAAATACATTAGCTTAACTAACCAAGGGACAATAATTCATTATATTAGAGTCTTACTGGCTTTTCTTTTACAGTAAGTTGTTCAGATACACATTTATTTAAATTGATATTGCACTAAACCCACTGTTTAGTTACAAAAATTAAAAAATATTTTGAAACAGCAAAGTATTTTTGTTTGAAAGATAGTTTCCTCTTGCCTTAAAAAAGACCTCTAGTGTATTTGAATTCTTGCTGTCTTTGGTTCTTCTTCTTTATTCTAAAGTGATTCTTGAAAACATGCACTTAAACTCAGACATATGAAATAATGCAAATTAAATTATATTCTTATACCTCAAGTCTGTACTGTTCAGGGAGCCAACATTCATTGTGTTTTATTTTCTTTGAAAGGCAAGTGCTCACATATACTGTCAAAAAGGAAAAATTCTTAAAATATTTTAGGAAAATTATTTTCTGCATTAGACAAATCTCTTCAGATACCTGCCTTCCTTAAAATTTGTGCATATGTACTGTTCCTGATTGCTTTCCTCTTATCTTGTTTTATATTTTAAAATTGGATCCAAGTTGTTTTACTTTTTTATCTTTCTTATTTTTAGTGTTCTGCACAGTGTGGTCTTGGGCAACAGATGAGAACAGTACAGTGCCTCTCATACACCGGACAAGCATCCAGCGAGTGTCCAGAAACACTCAGACCTCCATCAATGCAGCAGTGTGAAAGTAAATGTGACAGTACTCCCATTTCCAACACAGAAGGTAAGTTTGCCATCTTAATGTAATTTATTCTAGAAAGAGTCTAAAAGTTGAAATGACATCAAAAATGTCAAAATGACATCATCTCTCAGACTGTGAATTAATTTTTTACAATAATTTTCTAATTAGTCATTGTAGTTCAAAGGTGAAGTCAAAAATTTAAATACAGGTTCTTTGTTTAAAAAAAGACCCTTATAAATATATAGCCTAAGTCATGGACAAACTACTGTTGTTTTGTGTTATTAGTTTTCCAGTCTCTTTATTGGTTCAGTGGAAATGTCCTTAATAGCAGGGTGATCATGATATACTTCTCATCCACTGACCTTCTACCTGCTCCATCAGTGATTAACATAACAATGTAGTGGTAAAAATAGTTAATTACATGTTCACTGAAAGACTGGGACCATAGATTTAATGCTACATGGTGCTACGAGCCTGTTCTTTGACTTCAGCTTCCTCCAATTAACTTTCAATTCCTTGGACTTACAATGCCTGTTTGAACTAATTACAGTATTTTTTTACATGATTAGGTCTAATCAGACTATTAACTAGCTTCATCATAACATTTTTTTGCTAGAGGATATATTAGATAACATTGTCAAAATAAGATTACTAATGTTTATGAAGGGCTCCATATCTGTGCTCATAAACTGTTAGGAAATGCTGTCTTCAAAGTAGGATTGGAGTGCTAGTCAGCAAGAAAAAGAGTTTCCTTATTGATTGTAAAACTGTAGAATAGTTTACCTTTGTGTGCAAGGGGAAAAGAAATAAAAAATTACCAAAACATACATGTCCAAGAATCAAGAAAGATTGCACAGCAGTAATAGTTCTTTTAAGACAGTTATTCCCTGTATTTTACATTCTCTAAATTTTGAGTACTTGACTGCAATGTCACTAACACTGCTCTGTAACTAGTCTCTCTGCAGTATATAACGGAGTATCTTTTACACAGCTTCTCCAACTACATTGGAGTTTAATATTTATGGAACAAATAATAATCTGTTTTTAAATTTTTAATAAAAAGGCCAATTTTGGTTACAGTCTACCCGGGTTTGGTGTTCATTCAATACCTACTGTATCCATTCAGGTTCATGTCATAGATTCAAAGTTGTCATAAATGTCTGTCAAATGAAGACGTCTGTGATGAAATGGAAGCATACTAACATTTTCCCAGAAATACACTGATGATTTAGTGTATAAGCACCATAATTTACTTCTTGGAAGTTTTAATTTTAGATAGGCTTATCATCCCATGTCACCATTTGAAAAAAATCTTTATAATAGGATTTTCCTTGGTTATTTTAATTCCCATTTTTATGTTTAGTGCTCTCAAGTAATCTTTATGTGGTGATTATTAATCTAGGAAACTCTCTGCCCTTTAAAGCTTAAAGGCTAAATGATATTTTATTTCCAAACACAGATGTTGACTTTTGCAAAGTAAGGAAGGTAATAAAGTGCTTATAAGTGGACACGATTTAGTTCATAATATCAAGATGACAAGATCATATTGTAATTTATAGTCATTGTGTTAGTTGTTCTTTAGTATTATCAGGAAAATAAGCTAATCTCCCACAGATTAATACAATCAGGGGTTTTCTCTGTGTACTATATACACTGGGCAGCCATGGTCTTATTTACTGTGGGACTGTGCAGGGTATCTATGAAAAGCTGGTTGGTAATAATGATTTTTAAAGGACCTACACCTTCCCTGGAAAATTTTCGTGATCCACGACTAGAAAATGTTGAAAACCATTTACATGGTATTCCAGATGGACTTCAGCTTTTTGGCCTGTACTATGAGTGGCCCAGACGTGAGCCAGCTCCTTACTGACAGCCATGCAGCCTCGTTAGAACAGTTAGGAAGTATCGAGGGGAAAAAAGATATAGCAGAGTCTCTTCCAATAGGTACAGTTCCCAACATGTTGCCACTTAGCATCCCATTTTTGCTTAAATCCCACATTGAAGATATTTACTGGAAATCACTGATTTTTTGTAAATGATTAAGTGGCTCAAATGGCTCCAAAGTAAATATCATGTCAAAATTCATTGAACAATTTAAAATACCTACATCCTTTCAGAAGTATCTTGCTGCAATCCATGAAATACTGACAGTGCCCTATTCCAGAATTAAACAAAAATTTTGTCTTCAATGTATTTTTTCAATACTTTGGCAAGTATTTCTTAAATACATATTCTAATTTATACGCATTTCAGAGCTGTTATTGAATACTGAATATAAGAAGCATAAAATAAGTATTTGCAGAATAGTGTGCGTGCATTGCATATTTTCTGCCTTAAAGGATCCTCTTAGGCACAATAGAAGCTGACATCTCCTGTATTAGTAAAGTGTTAGCTTTTAAACAGAGAGGCCTATCTTTTTCAGCATACTAGAGATGATGGAAGGCTTGTAAGATTTCAAGAACTAACTAATCCTAAGGAGCACAGCTATTTTTGGAAAGGTAATACTTCCTAAGAAAGAAATATTTGAGTTCTGGTATTTCCTTGTGAATGTTATTTGTGAGAGGGGCATACTGTGCCTGTATGCTCGCTTCTGTGTCTCTCCAGGTGCAGTGGGATGTGAACAGTGAATCACTATTTGAGTTTCAGGGAAGGAGTCAGTTCTCTCAGAGGGAGGGTTCTGCCCCCTCGGAGTGCATTGTGCGTAGCAGAGACTTTGTCCATGTGCCACTTAGTAGCACTGCCTCGTGTTTTGGGCCCAACTGTGGGGCAAAAGCAACTTCAACAACATGTCATTGGTTTGCAGCAGGGTCAGACTAACAGAAGGGATTTCTTTCCTATTTCAAATCCCAGCAAACTCCCCGATTCCCTTCACTTTGCCAAGCTCCAGTACTCACAGCCTGAGGAACCCATTCAATAATTGCTGGACAATTTAGTTTTGCTAGCCCAAGATAAAACACATATTTTTGAGGAGTCTTGAGCCACTCTGCAGTATAATGATTGTGTTGGTAACATTTGGAAGCCCTTTCTTGGGGAAGGTATATGAGAGTCAAAATTTGGGGGATACAGAAATAGTAAAAGTAAGTTACAATACATCTTGTCACATTTTACATCTGCTTTAGCTCTTTGTTTTCTTTAAACTCTTCATTGGTGATTTAGAATACTGTAGACAAGGTTTTGACAGGCTGCCACTGATGGGGTTAAGATTGCATTTGCTGCTGGAAGTGAATTACAGGCAGCATGTACCATGTGATTTGAAATGTTTTCAGAATTATTTTGTTCTCTTAATATATGTATATGTATGTGTGTATATGTGTATATCTGCTGAATCTAGTGTGCTAAAGGCCATATGAAGCTTTACCTGAAAACTGTTCTATCTTTTTTTATGTCATTTCAGTTTTCCTTGTATTTTGTGTGACATGTCTTTGCAGTCTCTTTAGCTGAAGGCACAGTGACATTCTGTGGTTTTATTACTGTAACATAATATCATAGTATTGTCTGATCTAACCACAAAGTTCAGGATAAGGGGAGTTCAATACATGTAGCTTACTCAAACTTATTAACAAAAAGGGCTCTGCTAAAACTTTTCCATTCAATCACAGTGCTATGAATAATAGGCTACTTCATCAGCCACCATATCTATTTCAAAACTGATTTTTAGAACAGAAGTTGTGGGCAACTTCCAGAATGTTGTCTCACTGCTGTCCAAATGGCATTGGCTGAACAGGGTATAGTTTTAGTCAAGAGGAAGAATAACTCAAAGAAACATGAAATAGGATAATTTCAAATCCTGCTTTTAGCAAAAATGCAGTTAGTGGCTTTACTTGTATTTAACTAAATACAGTGTGTATGGGGGTTATTTTGGGGATTGAGAGAATTTTTTACTTCTCATCAAGATCAAGTGAAACTTTTTATTCCTCACTTCATTTATAATTCACCATCTACCTCTCCTATATTCCCAGTATTCACAAACACAGGGACCTGAAATATTTCTGGAAGACATTTGACTTCTTTTGGGAAGAGTTTTTGAAACTCGGTGAAACACAGTGACTGTGTGCAGTTGCTGATAGAGAAATACTTTTCACCAGCTATCCCAATGTCTTTTCTCCTGGCATCCAGTTCTGTTTCCAAATTGAGAATTAAAAAATTAGAAAAGGAATACATAAAACATTGGGAAGGTGGAGTGAAAAAAAATACTATTAAAGCACTGTATCTGTGTTAATGAAAGTTTAAATCATTTTGTGACCTATATTTATCTAACTAAAAGCACGTATTTTGTCGTTGTCAGAAATACTGTTTAGCACAGACCCTTTCAGCCTCACTAATGCATTCCTATCTTCAGGTATTAAAAATTCTCATCTGCACTGAACTTGCTACTAAAGTATCCTTGCAGCATGAGCTGGCATGAGCTATCACTGTCCCTAACTACTTGTTCCAGAGCAAAAATAATGTACTAGGAGATTTTATGTAGAAGAAATACAGACAGGAGTAGCTGAATGGTTGTACATGCTGACTGCGTTTATTTCGCTATTACTTTTTCCTTTTCTTACCTGTTTGGTGTGTCTGTTGTCTCTTTCCTATTTGGCTTACAGAAATCTTGGAGTCAGGAACTGTTGTTCTGTCAGGCCTTGGAGCAACAGCATTCTGGCCTCCAGTCTTTGCTTCTAGATAGCAGATCAGTACAGAATATGATAATGGTCAGAGTATTGCTAGTTTATCTCGTTATTCACATACTCTTTAAAGCTGTTGTAAATTGAAAAAGATTGTAGGAGGAAGCCAGTATCCAGTGCAACCTTAAAAGCGTAACAACTTGCAGCATTCTTTTGAGACAATTAATTTTCTGAGAAATTAATCTGATTTCATTTATACCATCACTTAATTTTTGTAATTCAAATTTATGGGGTTTACTTTTTCTCCTTACATATCTCTTCCATCTTCCTGCCCATGAATCAAAGTTCTTTGCCAAAGTCCTCTTTTAATACCAGTCTGGAAGGAACTGCTCAGATGCTTTTGAGTGAAAATCCCCTATCAGGCATCTGTCACAATGTTCACTCCAGATCAAAGGAAATCTGCAGCAGCAACATCTGAACTGTAAAACCTGAGATTACCCCTGAGCTGTCAAATACAGCTGTATCTCCAGCCAGATCAGAATAAGAAATGGGCATGGACCAAACTATTCACTTCCCTGTTCCCACCTTCTTTCTACAGATAGGAATCTGAGCCAGAGGAGAACCACAGCATATTCCAGCAGTGCTCCTGTAATGTACCCCACAAGTCAATTTAGATACAACTTGTGTGGGATGAAGGAATCCTTCCTCTATGTGGTTGAGCTCTTGCTCTCCCTTCCTGGGAGAGTTACCTGCCAATATGACAAGGGCTGCTGAAGCAGTAAGCCCAGCATATAGGGAAAACACAACTATGAAAAAAAGCTCTTACATGTCTGTTACAGGCATAAAAATGGCTTTTCCTCCTGTATAAAAGAAATTGTGGGTGTGTGGAACCAAGCCTAAAGTGTAATCCACCATCCAGTCCGGTCACTGAACTCACACTATTGGTGCCTTTATTCATAACACTCGTCAGTTTCTCCATCCCTCTTAGCTAAAATGCACATTCTATTTCAAGGATTCTTACAAATGCAGAGGCATGGTACCAAATAGTGAAAATTGTGTTAATTTTTGGATAACCTCTCATGGATGGATAAAATAACTCCCGAGAAAGAAGCTATATATATATAAAAGTATTGTTAGAAAAATGACTCACATTTCCTAGCTGTCTAAAGTGATCATTTATCCCAATAAATGATAGTTCTTCCAAGACAAAGTGGGCACACTTGTAAATGTCTGGGCAAGAAGCCCTGCAAACTTTTTTATGGCTTTTTAAGATGTGCTGTGTGCACAAGACTGGATAACAAAGAGCAGTTACAGAGAGGGCAAGGTGGATGGATAAATAAGCAGCATGTCAAATTTTCTTTGTAATTTTTATTTCTGATTTTTTTTTTCTCTTTAATGCTTTTAATTATTAGAGTGCAAAGATGTGAACAAAGTGGCATATTGCCCACTGGTGCTGAAGTTCAAGTTCTGCAGTCGAGCATACTTCAGACAGATGTGCTGCAAGACCTGCCAAGGACACTGACCCACAGAAAGCACAGGAATGTGCCTTGTTATTATCATTGTGGAAGAGCGTCCATCAAAGAGAGCCACACAGCGGAATGAGATTGATGTCCTTGCAAATGCATTACCCTGTGGAAAACGTAACCACTGGTCAGCCCCAGCTGACAGGATTTCAATATTATTTTAACTTCTGTGAAGTGGGATTTATTAATCCAAAGTGCTGGACACAGTATAAGGAGGGCATGCCAAATTGGAAAGATCCACACAACACATATAGAATAGCTTACTGTGGAACATTTGTGTTCTTGACTAAATCCAATAGTCTGTTTACCTCCTTGGACCATTAAAGTAATTTTTATTATGGACTTAGCAATGACACTGAATCCATTTGTATTTAAAACTGTTTAAAATGTAGCTGTTATGACTTAGTCTACTATGGAAGTAAAGAAGGATCAAAAAAACATTAAGTCATAGCTTAAAAATGTTAACTATTTTATCTCACAACACAGCACCACAATTTAAATTATAAAATGAGCTTGGAAATGTTATTTAAGGAGCAGAAATTAAAAAAAAAAAAAAGTATTTTTCCTTCATTCCACCTAATTCCCTTTGGAGTAATCCATATTTCCTGAACACTGCTGTGAGCCATATATAAAGCTATACTAAATAGAACAACCGTGAGGGACTTAGTTTTAAGAGGTGCAACAGTTATTGCAGTGGTGCATGAAATACGAGTGTGCTATGAAACAAAATGAAATCTGTGTTGCAGGTTTATGGCCATTTTACCATTGTACAAGTGAAGCTGAGATTTCCACTGAAAGGGAACATTTGGAGGAGGCGGACTCCAACAGTGGTGAAGACCATATTGCCAGCTTCTTCACTACTACGGTACAGGTTGCTCAGAACTTACTTTGACTCCAGCTCACATTTGTTTACAACACCAGCCACAAAGAAGAAGTAACTTTGTGGGCATCTAGATCTGATTTACATGTTACTTTTGATTCTCCAAAACTAAGAATTCCAGTGCAGAATATAAGCCTATTGTGTAATAGCAGCAGTCCTTTGAAAAGCTGAAAGTTAAAATGGAATCCAGGTGTTCACTTTGATACCATAGCAGAAGGGCATTTGTTTATGAGAAAGAAAATGTGAATGTGCAGTTCAGGAGACCACATCTGAGTGGGCAAGAATTACAACCAAAGAATAAACGACTCATGGAGGTATCTAGGTTCAGTTCAAATGGGAAGTCAAAAGTGTGCTTGAGCCAAGAGGCCTGTTGGACTGTCAGAAGGCACACTGGAAAAGGGGTGGCTAGGATGAAGTCTGGCCACCTTCACCTAAATGGCCAGGTACGTATTTAAAGCTGGACCATATTTAAAGCTAGGGCAGCTTTCAGCATGAGACTGAAACAAACTCATGCTTCTGGATTAGTAGCTGGATGCTTTAACTTTTCTGCCACCATACTCCATTTATTTCATATTACCATAGTTTTAATATTCACCAAATACTTTGTATTTTTAAATGTGAAACCAAAATACTTAGGCAAGTAACATTCAAGAATATACCATTAAAAGTTAATTCTTGTGCCTTTCTTCCCCTTCACTTTTCAATAACAGACTCGACAAGGGAGATAAGGAAAGTAGATACTTGTTTATATTAGTACATTGTACTTGAACACTTACGCTTTGCAGCAGGTACTTGGAATGTGCTTTTTTGTCCAACTATGCCTCCTTTGTTGTAGTGCAATTAAAGTTATGTGAACAATAACGTGTTACAAATTCTAACTCAGCACTTTTTTTAAAAAGTACTCTTTTCAGTGAAAAATAATTTCAGAGTATCCTGAAATTGAAGTGTAGCAGTGTATTTTACCAATAACAAGCCAGATGTGTTACACACTATTTACTAATGTGAATTAATGTGGAACAGTAGATATTTTTAACAGGACCCTTACTATGAAATCCCCCCCCAACTCATTGACAATCTGTCCATGGGGTTTTGTGTAGCCCATGTATTCATGACCATCAAATTCCTGTCATCTGCTACCTCTTGCCAGTATTTCCACTTCTGTACACCTGTGACCAGTGGAATTTATTCTCAGTTGGCTTGCATGTATTCACATATGCTTATTTGCTGCTCTCATTACCATGTGAACAACTTCTGGTAAAAGTGACACCAGTAGAAGAAAAAAAAAAAAAAAAATAGTCCTCCTCTGTTAAGTGAATTGACTTTCCATATCCTTTTGACAAAACACCTTGGTGCTACCATGTCCTGGTTTGGTCAAAAATATGATGAAAGGGAAAGGGATTGCTAAATCATTCCCTAAGCAAGAGACCTCTTTGTATCAAGGTCCAGTTTTCTCCAGGGCATGATTTTGTTTTATCAGCTAATGTATCTTTGCAGCTAATAGGAAAAGGGTTTTCTGTGTATTCAAAGGAAACCTTTTAACCTTTTTTTTTTTTTTTTTACCTCACTTAGGACATTAAAATTGTAAGGAGTGTTTCCAAAGACACATTTTGCTGTCTTATGGTGCTAAACACTAGGGAGTCTGATGTTTACTCTGAAATAACAGCACTGAGGTTGGAATTCAGAGAACTCCCTGGAGCAGCGTTGAATTGTATTGTTAAAGGGAACAAAACACAGAATGTATGTGGATTTACAAACTAAGCAATCCTTCAGACTTAGACCAAAAAATGAAACCTGATTCTAATAAAAAAAATTGGTTTCCACAGCACAGTTCGTTGCTGCTGCTACACTGTAGCCATCTATATAATCTAAGCTAAATAGTGTTATACTCCTAAATAGCGACAAAAGGACTATGTGTAAAGGCTATAAACATGTCAGGCCTAGAATCAAATGATAGAATACGAAATGCAGAAATCAGTCTGGTGCCAGTACTTCCACTGCACAATACTATCAGCTGAAGAAGATCAAAACAGAAAGAAAAATCTAGAGATTAACCCCTCAAGGTGTATACACCCCAAAATAGTCCATTTCGTTAGGAACTTTGTAATGGAGTGAATGTCACATAGATATCCTTAATAATACAGACTGAAATTACCATTGTATTATTGTGATTAGTTGCTTATTATTTTATACTCAGTATTAATGTGGTACACTGTTACTTTATTATTATTATTTTTGCTTTTGTAAATTATATTCTAATTTATTGTCATGTTTCTTAACACTTGTTCTACATGCATTCTCTTGCTTGTAATGAAAACAAAAATATTGTAACACTTGATGCAGTGAAATTCCACACCAGGCACAGATTTGTTTTTAACATAGATAATTTAGTAAAATAAAGCTGCAGCTTTTAAGAATTATACCCATGGTACAGTTGTCCATTCCCTGACTTACAGTTACTAGAATTCTGTATGCTTAAGATTTGCTTCATCAGATGCATCAAAATATATATAAGATGTTCTCTTTCAAGTAACATCTATATGTTATGCTAGAATCCTGGCCTTTCCAGCAGCAATGTTTGTCATATATAAACAAAACAGTGGGGGAAAGGAAAAATCAAGAACGTGGTTAATGTACATTATTGGATAATATTTTAGCCTAAGAATAATGTAGATCAAGAATGAAATTAATGGCAGCAAAAATATCCTGTACTTCTTGGAATGATTTCATTAACAGCCAGTCAATAATAACAATAAAATGTCCTTCTTGCATTGAGCTTTTAAGGTTTTATCTGAAGTTTATCTGAAACCATGATGTTTTTAAATATAAAGAACAACATAATTTCAGAAGACTTGGTGCTTAGGTCACTGCTGCTGAGAGATGCTTCTTTTCTTAACTGGTAAGGTAGGAGTACCTTGTATGGAAGTCTCTGATCAAGTCCTATGAAATATCTCTTGTTTCTCAGTTAAAATCTAGTTTCTGGTTTAATGAAAATAATCACTCATCTGTTATGAGCAAGATGTTAAAGAAAGTGCAGAGAACCTTAAATATTTCGATAAGGCATTTAGTAATTTTGGTTCTTTTTTTATTTTTTTTACAAATAAGTATTCTGAAAACAATTATCTGTTTTAAAGGTATGGGTATTTCTACCTGTGCTCTGTCACAGAAGTTTTACTGCTCTACAGATGAAGTTAAAGATGGGAGTAGTCTTAGTAAATAACACAGTCCAATAACACTTTTCTCTGCCATTACTGTTGGCTCTGTTTCTCTGCCAAAACTCTGCTGACTTTCTTCCTGTACATTCACACCGCAAGTTATTACCTGATTGGTTTCCTTCTATTGTTTAGTTTTGAGTGTTATTCTTTCCCCCTAGAGCATTTATTTTGGGTTATAATGACTTACTGGGTAAACTGAAACAGGTACTGTTGTGATTCCTTCTCTTTTTCTCCTCCTGCTACCTTAAACCTAACATCACTCATGCTGACTTGAATTTCTGGAACACAAAATTCCCCTTCAGTCTTTTAAAATGTACCTGAACTTCCTTCTGGAACCAACTCTGCTATTATAATTCTCTCTTACAGTTTTTCAGTTTTATTTTGTGAGCAAATGGACACGTTTTTACCTGAGATACTTGCTTTTCATTTCTCTGATTTCACTTGCTATACCCCACAACTGTTCATCAGTAAACTCCCTGTTCTTTCTGAAGCCATCTGATCTATAAGAAGCACTTTTAAGTATCTTCTGTAGAATGCTAAACAGGCCTTGGTTATTTTGCTGTTGGTTTTTTTTTTTTTTTTTTTTTTTTTTTTTGTTTAATGCAATAGACTTTGGATGAGTCCTGTGAGCCTCATCTGGAGTCAGTCAGTCATCAATCTAAGAGTCTTTATGAGAAGGCCATTACTAAGCTGAGGCTGTCATTCTGCCTTATCTGGCCATCTTTCTTTCACCACAAACAACAGTTAGGTGGAAGGGATAGATTGCTTCTGTGTGGTCCCTCCAATCTTTGTCCTAGACAGAATGGTGTAAGAGCATTTGCATGCAGTAATCAGGATGGAATCCTAAACAGACTTATAAGGGCTCAGTCAGCCACAGAACAAGGTTCACTACAGCACTAGAGACTTGGTAGTTTCCCAAGTATATTTGGCCCAGCTAAAGGGGGAGTTCATGTCCCGTTTAGGAAACTGAGCCACTCAGAATGTATGTGGTGTGGTGTGCATTTAAGGATACTGCATCACTTAAACTGGTGTATTACCTAAACACTGCATGTCATCTATTTTCTTCTATTTCTGTGCAGGACTGACATTTTCATTGAGCTGGACAGGCTACAGGACACATAGCTCAGAGGTCATAGAGTTGCTAGTTAGAAAATTACTGAAATCTGACTGGGAAAAAATACAACTACGTATTTCTGCATTAAGAATGTGAAGATGCCATTTCTGTAAACTGGAAGGCCTTTTCAGAGAAGACCTAGCAAGATTACTAGATGTATAATCTCACTTTAGTAATCCTGTTTGGAACAAATTCATTGGATCACAGCTTGAGGTAGAAATGTTTTGGAAGCTAGATGTGAAGACTCAGCCAGAGTGCTTCAGGCTTCAGTTGCTAATGACCACCCAGAGGGATCAGATTTGTCCTGGCTGATAAGGGGTAAGCCATGGCCTTTGGAAATTGGGTTTCTTCAATGCTAAGCACATCAAAATCATTCTATTTGTTTACTCTTCTCCTCACTATCCACCCCCACACCCCGACATCAAAGTCTTTATAACTGTACATACTCTTGCAATGTCTATAACATAACAAAATTATCTTTCATATTGTTTGAAAACCCATCTCACAGTATGATTTATCTTTTGCAATGGAGATCAGTCTTCTGTATAGGATTCAAGATCTCCCACCCCTTGCATGCAGATTGGTACTGAGTAGCACTTCATGTGCAAGTAAGCTGAGGTAACAGTTCTGCATGTGTGGGAACATCTTTCAGTTATATTTTTATGGAAAGACACAGACCCTTGGGTTAACTGGTATTTCAAGAAGACAAACTTAAGTTGAGAGTTCATTTTCAGTTATTATTGCAACATTTGTTTTGAGGTGAGCTGTGCTTTATAAAGCAAATAATTTTACAGAAGTACAGTGCATTTAATAGGGTCACTACCTTCTAATATCTTTGAATACCGATCAGAGACAGGGTCAGGGCCTTGTGCGTGCATAGCAACATATATTTGAAAAGTTTGCAGTCCTTTTCCAGAATGCTTGCTCTCATTCCTCAGAATCCACACACTGGGACAGGACTACTTTTCCCTCCATCGTCATCTCCCCCGGGTGACTGCTTTTCCTCTTCCTCACTGCTTTCACATGTGTGTGAATTCAGTGTACAGTACTGCTGCTTTGATCTGATACTTTAATGTGAATATTAAGAGTGTTTTTATCTGTAACTTAACACTGTTGTATTGTAAAAATGCTAATTTTAGGCTGGTTTTGTGAATTATTTATTGAAATGTAAAAACAAACATAAAATCTAAATAAGAATTTAAAGAAACAAATGCTAGAGGTGCCTTTTTTTTAAATAAGGTACTAGATAAAGATAATTTTTCTACTGCAATAATTAAAGACCCCCTCAAGATGCTTTTTCTTAGTATGAAAAACATTGAGTTAGGAGCAAATATAAACAGAAGGAACTGAACCTCTCTTTTGGTCTCTCTTTTTCACATTTAGCCTTTGCTATTGACATGCACTATCAAAACAAGACCTTCTGCAGCAAAAAAGGAATCTCAAACATCTCATTTGGCCTTCCTGGCTCAAAGTTTCCTTAGAAGTTTGTTTACCTAAGATAAGGTTACATTGCTGAAACCATCCTGTCAATTAGCAGATAACATTTGACTTCAGATGTAATATTCTTCACAACCATTTATCAAGGATATGCTGGTAACTGAGTTTCTAGGGAGGAGGGGGGGTATGACAGCTGTAATTACGTGTATCAATTAACTATATCTTACTCAGAGTCCTCGTGAATTAGAGTACAGAACAGCCTATTTAAATAAAAGGGGAAAATAATTTGTTGTGTTTTGCACCAGCTGCAAAGGGAAGGTTCAAGGGAAGAATATTCCATCTCAGGATTTTCAGTGAGATTTAAGAAGTTGCCTCAGTTTTGGTTGCTCACTGCAGTCCTTGGTAAAATGTTTGTAAAGCTAACAGCACTGGAATTCAGGAGGATGTCCTGTAGTCTATGAACATGGACTTTTATCTTTTTTTATTATTAAAGATTATTATCTTTTTTAACT